AAGCAGCATGTAAACAAGCACCGTCTAAACAAGCAGTGTGTAAACAAGCACCGTCTAAACAAGCACCGTGTAAACAAGCACCGTGTAAACAAGCACCGTGTAAACAAGCACCGTGTAAACAAGCACCGTCTAAACAAGCACCGTGTAAACAAGCACCGTGTAAACAAGCAGTGTGTAAACAAGCACCGTCTAAACAAGTACCAAACGTCACGTACACCGCTCTTAACACGTGTAGCTCAATTCACAAGAACAAAAAATCCGCTGGCAAGGATTTCCTACATTTTTAATGGGCGTATGATCGATTTTGGCTTTTACTGTATCAAGGTAAAACGCTTTACTTGTTCACCAACTATCACACTATCAATATATATCATGGGCGAATAATAACAAATTTGTCATCATTCATTCACCTCTGATAAATAAATAAATAAATAACATATATACTAATAATATATATACTATATTACGTGTGTGTGTTGGGTAGTCGTGTGTGTCGTGTGTAGTGGTGTGTGTGTGTGTGTGTGCGTTGTGTATGGCGGATTGCGCTGCGTTCGCGCGCTGTGTGTACGTTGTATGTTGTGTGCTGCGCCTGCGGATGCTTGCGGTGCTGCGTAGGGCTGCGTGGTGTTTGCGTGTGTGCGTGCCGCTGCTTGGGTGTGTCCGCTGCGTGCTGGCCGCTAGTGTCCGCTGGCGTGCTTGCGTGCTGTCCGTGCTGCTCGTATGTTGCTGCGTTGATGCGCGCGCACCAGTGTGTGTGTGAAGTGTGTGTGGCTTGGTGTGTGTGTGTGTGTGTAGTGCTGCTTGCGTGTGCCCGCTGCGATGCTTGTGTCGTGTACACGTGCGCCTGCTGCCGTGATTGTCCGTGCCGCTCACTTGCGATGTGTCCGATGCGTGCTTGCGTATGTTGCTGCGTGATGCCTATGCGCGCGCTGCGCGGACACCAATAACAACACCCGTGTGATGCTGTCGTGTGCCAAACTGTGTGGATGCGCTAGTGTGTGTCGCTGCGTGACTGCCCGTTGCGTGCTTGTTGTGTGTCCGGTGGTGTAGGCGTAGGCCCCCAAACTTGTCCGTGGACGTACTGCGTGCTGTCCGTGCGGTGCTGTGTGTGGCGTGCGTGCTTCGTGTGCTGCGTGCGTGCTTCGCGCTGTGTGGGTGCGTGCGTGCATCGGTGTGTGTGACATGACCCTGCGCGCGGCTCGCCCGTGCTGATGTGGTATGTGTGTGCCGTTGTGTGCCGGTGCGCTGCTTGCGTGTGTCCAGCTGCGTGCTTCGTTGAGACGTGTGTATACGTTGTTGCGTGCGTGCTTCGACGTGTGCTGCATGCTCTGCGCGCCGCTCGACGTGCTGTGTCGCTATGTCGTGTTGCGTGTGTGCGTGGTGGCTTGCGGTGTGCTCCGCTGCGCCTGCTTAGCGTGTGTCCGGTGCGTGCTTGCATCGCTCGAAAAACTTGTTGTCACCAGAGAACATCGTGCGTTTCTTGCGCTGGCAACGTGTGAGTGTGCATGCTTGGCGGCGCGGCGCGCGCGGCTGCGTGTGTGTGTGTGTGGGTGTGTGTGTGTGTGTGTGTGTGTGCTTGCGTGTGTGCGTGCGTGCGTGCGTGCGTGCGTGCGTGCGTGCTTGCGTGTGCCCGTGCGTGCCTGCTTGTGTGTGTGCGTGCGTGTGTGTGTGTGTGTGTGTGCGTGCTTGCGTGTGCGTGCTTGCGTATGTGCGTGCGTGTATCTGCGTTAGTGCTTGCATGTGTGCGTGCTTGCGGGCGTGTGTGCGTGCGTGCTTGCGTGTGTGTGTGCGTGTATCTGCGTTAGTGCTTGCGTGTGTGCGTGCTTGCGTGCGTGTGTGCGTGCTTGCGTGTGTGCGTGCGTGCTATATATTGCTGGCTGTCACATGTCATATCCGATAACACATCAATACTAACGGTGACTACCAATCAGCCAACCTTCTCAGGAACTGTATATCATCTGTACATCGACACGCTCCCGTGAGCTAGTTTGCTGCTAAGAACTCTGTCTACGACTGCACGTGTTTTATCGTGAGCTCCCAGCTTTTGATTCGTGACTATATAGTCACACGGGCTATAGCTACATGCGTCTCTGTATTCGTTAGTATTGGATGTGACAACTTGTCTTCTAAAAACCTACTGCGTGTCTGTGACGCACTGACGCTGCCTGCCTACAGATGATCGCTCCCAGTTTTTTAGATGTTGATTTTTGTTGTTTGCATGTTTGTCGCTGTCAGCATAGTGACACGTATCGCTTTCGCTCGCGGCCATATGCCAGCTATCGTGAGTTAGATGCAAGTCAGCTTTTCTGGTCATGCACAGAGCACTAAAACTACCCCGCCCGTTAAACTAACGATCTCCCGTGTTTCATTCCCTCGTGGTTTTCAGTTATTAAGTATATAAGTTCGAGGTAATTTTACAGATTGAATATACATTTGATGTTACATCTAGACATTTGATGTTACATCTAAACATTTGCTCGTGTTTGATTAAAGTTGTTATTTGCCCGGATGTTCATATTCTTTAAAAATTCTTTATTTGCTAGTTTCGATATTTTAATTCGTTTTGCGTTATAAAATCGATTAATCAACAAAGATCGCTTCGTGTAGTGTCGGAAGATATCTATAATAATACTGGTAAAAGTAAAGGAAACTATCGCACGAAGGGTCGTTGTCGTATAGGTTACTACATATATGTACCCGAGGTAACTATCTGATATGGTTAGGGTTAGGGTTAGGGTTAGAGTTAGGGTTAGGGTTAGGGTTAGAGTTAGAGTTAGGGTTAGGGTTAGGGTTAGAGTTAGGGTTAGCGTTAGGGAGTAGGCGTAGACGTAGGTGACATATATGTGCCTAGGGTACCCTATACGACAACGACCCCTTCAGCGAAACTATCAGTGCGATGTTGCACTCTATCCGGCAAGTAACATGTGTAGACATTTAAAGCCATAAAAATCTGATGTACTGTGTGTTTGACGGTGCCACGCGATCAGTGGATGAGTAATGACATGAGTAGTCAGTCAGCTAACGTCTCAGCCACTCACAATGCCTGCTTGAATCCTCACTATAGCAAGCACTGATCCCCCCCAGCAGAACGTGTGAGCCGGCGTGCAAGATTAGTGTTGGTTACATATTTCATTTGGCGTTTAGGTGGTCAGATAATTCTACGCTGTAACGGGTGTATAGCTGCTTATTTGGGATGTGACTAGACACTTCTATATGTACTCTACTAGCTTCATACTCTTGCTTGAACGTGTAATTAGTATTGACTATATTTGAGACGTGTCACTAATGAGAGATTAATCATTGTTGCATAACAAATTTTGTTATAATTGTCCTCTAGCTCTGAAATAAAAAGGCTGTATTAACAAAATTATATCTGCAGTTTAAAGTGTGTACCGCGAATTTTTTGGCTCAGAAAAACGAAATATAGCAGAATATAGTCTCACCTGACAGTGGAAATATCACTGATGTGCATTTACATGGTTAACTATGGTTGAAATATCTCTATGCCCGTCATAGCAGTAGAGCTTAATCGCTAATCGTAGAATTGTGGGTGTTCGCGAATTCATGGGGAAATAAATCGTGATTGACGTGAGAAAACATAGAACGGTTGTTTACAGCATGATATGCGTGTTAACCGTGCTCGTTTTTAGAGTACAGTTGGATGTGCGAATACCACCTGTTCTCGACGATCAAAATAGGTTAAACATTCTGGAAAACACGCCGGATTAATGGCTGTTATTACACGTTTAACTTCATACGTTAATGTTTAATTACACGTTTAACTTCATACGTGTACACATAAAGGGAAAGGATAAAGACAGGGGAGAGTGCGCACAATGAGATGGAGGGAGAGAGAGAGAGAGAAACAGCCAACTGAAGGGGCAGATAGACAGAAAGCCAGATAGACAGACAGACAGATAGACAGACGTACGAACGGACGGACGGCCAGAAAGGCAGGCAGGCAGGCTGGCTGGCATGCAGACAGGCATGCAGAACGACAGACAGATAGTTAGATGAATACACGGGTGGACGGGTGAACTGATGGAAATATGGGTAGATAGAGGATGGATGGGATGGTATGATGGGTGGTGGATTGGATGGATTGGATGGTGGATGGAGGGATGGTGTATGATGGATGAGATGGGATGTTGGTGGATGGATGGATGGATGGATGGATGGATGGTGATGGGATGGATGGATGGTAATGGATGATGTGATGTGATGGATGGTAATGAATGGCATGATGGGTATGGATGATGGATATGGCATGATGGCTAATGGATGGCAGGATGGATGGATGGTATGGATGGCAGCGCATTGCGATAGATGGATAGAATGGATAGATATTTGCGGCATAATTGAACATGACAACCGAATTGTAATGTTAATTTGCATTTATCTTTTCTAGCGCCCCCGACGCGCTGCGCGCTTCTCCCGTTGATTGGTTGCGGCGCATGTCACGGGATAGGGCCCGTAGTGCCATATCCATTAGCGATGTCAGACCTCGTCGACAATGCAATAATATTCACCGGCACAGAGATGCAAGAAAGACGTTCTACGAGCAGGCCGCGTCTACACGGGCTACACTATGCAACACGTCGCTGAATGGATACGGATACGACCGCTAGCAGCTCCTCCGGATATGGCGAATTATTCGAATCCGCAGATGGAAACGGCGCGGCGCCGATGGCCGTCGTGTTATGGAGCGACAGCCTTCGGTGCTCCGACGGGACATGACGGAACGGCAGGGTTCCCCGCAGGAATACAGCGGCCTGTGCATGCGGGCGGGGGGTCGTAGCTAAACGGCAATTGCCATACCCGGGTCTCCTGTTCAGCAGAGCCCACCGTTTCTAGCCGAGCTTATGCAAGAGAGATCTATTCCGTGGATGAAGGAAGTACGGCGAAGCTCGAAACAGACGCCAACAGCTGACGCACATTCACAGGTTAAGCACTATTTCTTCCTTACTGCATCATTACTGGGGCGATGGGACGGCTGGTGTGCGCAGTGCGTATCGTGTGAGTGTGTGTGTGTGTGTGCATGTGCCTGTGTGTGGGGTGTGTGTGCGTCTGTGTGGTGTGTGTGTGTGTGTGTTGTGTAGTGTGTGTGGTTGTGTGTTGTGTGTGTTGTGTGGAGTGTGACCTTGGTGTGTGAAGCGTGTGCAGCTTGTGCGTTGGTGCGTGTTGCGGTTCGTATGTGTGTGTGTGTGTGTGGTGTGTGTGTGATGTATGTGTGTGTGTTGTGTGTGGTGTTGCTGTGTAGTGGTGTACTGTATGTGTGTGTGTGTGTGTGTGTGTGTTGTGTGTGTGTGTGATGTGTGTGTATGTGTGTATGTTGCTTTTCTTGCTCTCTACCTTTGGTGGGTGCTGTTCAGTCTATATTCCCGCTCATAAAACACTATGACGTATAGGCATATTCATTCATAGATTATTCACAATATAGACTATGTGCGTATCCACGAGGTAGTATAAAGTCATTAAATTGTAAATTTACGTGAAAACTCTTACAGTATTTCTATATGGCAGTAAACTACTATTTGCATGATTGCTATAGCTGGGCAAACAGTTAAGAAATTATATAGACTCTAAGACATTCTCATTTAAACGAGATTAGTTTATTTTAGCCCGCCTTTGTCGACAAAGATTAGCAATAAAGTTCATTCGTTGCTATTCTAAGCTAGGTTCCTGCCAAGTTTACAATCTGTTATTATCTACATACAGCTAGCATTCAAGTTAAATATAGTGTAGAAAAAAATGTCGAGTTTCTATACCAGATGTTGCGTTTTGCTCGTGTGCATGCGTGCGTGCCTGTGTGTGCGCGTATGTGTGTGCATGCATGTCCTGTGCGCGCGTGTGCATGGACATTGTGTCGTAGTGTGTGTGTGTGCTGTGTGCTATTGTGGTGTTGTTGTGTGTGTGTGTGTGCTTGTGAGCCAGTGCCAGCGCGCGAGTGCCGTGTGTGTGTGTGTGTGTGTGTGTTGTGTGTGTTGTGTGTGTGTTGTGTGTGTGTGTGTGCGCGTATTGTGTCGTGGCATGATGTCCTGTGACGCGCGTGGTGACTGACTTGTGTCGTGTGATGTGTGTGTGTGTGCAAGAAGTGTTGTGTGTGTGTGTGTCTGTGGGTGTGTGATGCCAACGGTGCTGTGTGGGTGTGATGTATAAGTGATTGTGTGCTGTGTGTGTGTGTGTGTGTGTGTGTGTGTGTGTGTAGTGTGTGTGCGTGTGTGTGTGTGTGTGTGCTGTGTGTGATGTTGCGCGTGGCGCGGCGCGCTATGCTGTGCATGGCATGTCCTGGTGCGCGGTGTGCATGACATTGTGTACGTGTGTGTGTGTGTGGCGTGTGTGGTGTAGTGAATGTGTGTGTGTGTCGTGTGTGGTGTATGTCGTCGTTGTGTGTGGCAGCGCGCGTGTGTGGTATGTGTGTGCGTGTATGTGTTGTGTGGTGTGTGTGTGCAATGCATAATTGTTAGTATATGTGTATATAGTAATGTGCATGCGTGGCGTATATGTGATGTGTGTGTAGTGCGTCGTGTAGTGCGTGTGTGTGTGGCTTAGTGTAGGCGTGTGTGTGTGCGTGTGTGTGCGAGATGCTGTGTGTGTGTGTCTGTATGTTGTGTGTGCGCAAAATGTCGGTGTGTTGTGTGTGTGTGTGCTGTGTGTGTGTGTGTGTGCATCGTGTGTGTGTGTTGTGTGAGTGATGTGTGTGTGTTGTATGTGATATGTGTATGTGTGGATGTATGTGTGCGATGGTGTGTATGTAGTGTGTGTGTGTGTGGGTGTGTGTGTTGTGTGTGTGTGTTGTTAGTGTGTGTACGTGTATGTTATGTGTGTATAGTATGCGTTGCGTGTATGTGTGCGTGCGTGTGTGCGTTCGTGGCAGTGCAGTGAGTCGGTGAGTGTGTATTGTGTATTGTATGCTGTATGTGTATGGGTGTAATCGTTGTGCGCACGCGCGCTTGTGTGTATTGTGGGCTGGGGGCCATCAATGCTTGCGTACATGTTTAGTCGTATGTGATAGCCCGCTAAATCACATTAATGCTTGTACGTGCCAATAACGGTCATGTACCATGCAACACAATCTAACCGTCTCTCCATTAAACACAATCTTTGTGCATTTATAGAAACAATCGTGTGTGATATCTTTCATCGCCTATACCGCTGAGCGTCTCTCGGGCAGTAATAGATTTCATCTAAAGCATCATGCTTAACGCTGACCGTTTAACTCCTGGACTAATCCTTTATGTGAGTGCGCGGTCAAAGCCTTCATGTCAGCCCGACAGTATAAATCGGCTCCCGTAAAACAGTACGATGCACAGGCCCGTCATGAATATCCATTCTGGGGCTGTAAGTGCGTTACAGTGGTACAGTGCAATTTAGAGGCCAATAAAACAATTTATTACGCGTGTCCCCACATACCTGTTTCTCCCGCCTCGCCGCTTGTCTTTGATGTGCGTCTTTCACGAGTGCGTTTATAACCCGTGGCTCCCGCCTCGTGAAACGTTAGCCGTACATCGTCAGACGCCCATTCGAACCTTAGCTATAATGGGATGCTGCCTATTTCGGACTTGTTTTGTGTTGCGTTTATGGTTCCGAGTTTGTTCTCAGCATCCGGCATGAATTATAAAGAAGCGTAATTTATTAATATGTTCGCCCTCTTCAATATTATTACCTATATACACACAATTATACATTTGCGCATTTTTTCACTTAAACTTGCTAAACATGTATTCCGTGAAAATATAACTGTGCTGAAATGATAGGGTATGGTAGTATGACACACAGAGCGCATTGTTTTATAATTATATGCACGGAAATATACATATATGCATTCAAATTATTTATAATATATTTATATAAATATATTAACATAGGCTATATAATATATGGCAAATCTGTGGCCCCTATACTAATGAAAATATTTAATACTATCTGGTAATTTTATCTGGTATTATCAGTTTTAATTATCAATAATTATGAGTTTAATTAGTAGGCCCTATGTTAATAAGTACACTGTAGGATAATTTTTTAATATTTTCATTAGCATTTTCATTTTAACGTTGAGAATATCCTTGCGATTATCGATGTTTATGTTATTTGTATATTTATTTATTTATTTATTTATTTATTTATTTATTTATTTATATTCAGTCATTCATTCTGTCTTCCTTGCTTGCTTTCTTTCGTTATTTTCTTGACATACCTGTGTGTGCGTGTTTGTGTGTGTGTGTGATGTGTGTGTGGTGTGTGATGTGTGTGTGCCTGATGGTGTGTTGAGTGTGTGTGCGGTGTGTGTTGTGTAGTGTGGCTGTGTTGTGGTTGGTGTGTGTGTGTGTGTGTGTGTGTGTGTGTGTGTTGCGCGTGCTGTGAGTGTGTTTTGGCAAGTATATGTATTATAATATACTAATATATATATATATATATATTATGCTATATATATAATAAAGCTATAATACCTGGACTATATGTATATATGTATCTGCTTATAATATTATGTTATATAATAATATAAATATATGTAGATGTATAATGTATACTGCTAATATAGTAATAATAATATATATATTTATATATATTATATATATATATATATACGTAGTAGTTATAAATGAGTATTATATATAATTGATTTTTTTAAACATGTTTAACCCGTTTAAATTGATTTATTACGTGTGTATAGCGTCATCATTTAACCATTAATTTCCATTTTTATTCACTACCTCGTGTGTTTGGCATTTTTGTGATTTCTAGATCAAGGTGAGGCTCCCTCGAAGCGCGCCCGCACGGCCTACACAAGCGCTCAGCTCGTAGAGCTGGAGAAAGAATTCCACTTCAACCGCTACCTCTGCAGACCAAGGAGAATCGAGATGGCCGCCATGTTGAATCTGACCGAGCGCCAAATCAAAATATGGTTCCAAAATAGACGCATGAAATACAAGAAGGATCAGAAATTAAAAACCGACCGCGAGAAACCGCGAGACTCCGTCGACGGGAAAGAGGAGAAGAGTAACGACAGCGCGACGAAATCGTCGACGACGACGAAGACGGGAGTGTCGCTAGCTAGCAGGTCCGCCTGTGACAACGCCGCCGCTGCCAACAACGACGACTCGTCACCGCTGTCGGTATCAGCGGCAGGTCCGTGTGCTGCCTCGCACTCGGCATTGTCGCACAACGTCAATACTAAACCGCAAACATCCGTCATTCAGCATCGTGCGCGGGAGAACGCCAAGCCAGCCAACTCAGCGCGACATCAGCTTCAGCATCCTCATCCTCCTCAGCATCCTCATCCTCCTCATCCTCATCCTCCTCTGCAGCAGCAGCAGCAGCAGACGCTGCAGCGAGCGGCGCGGTTCGCAGCGTCGTACGGTAATAACGGTGTGTCGTGCAGTCCGCCGCTGCCGCCGCCGCCGCCGCCGCCGCCGTCACACGCGCCCGCTCACATCGCTGTCACCCCGATCTCGATCTCTACAACCTGCAACCAGCTAGCGACCCCCCGGACACTGTCGCCCGTGTACAACCTCACTCAACACGCTCAGGGAATATTCAACGATGCTCCAAAGCTGACGCATTTGTGAATAGCATGAATATTAACGGCCGCACACCGTACCGCGGCGCTGGTGACGGCGACGGCGGTTGTAATATAATAGCAAGTGTAAGTTTTGCCAAATATTGCAAAAATTTTCTTGCCGAGAGAACGTTGAAGGGTTGTCAGTAAGTGATAGGGCCACCTATACTGCAGCTGTCGCTCTTCTCCAGACGCGAGAGCGCGGTTGCTCTGCGTGCTGCCATGAGATACACATGTTTTTCAAAGGGCTGTGTTTAATCCGAATGTGTACAACACATGTACGATCAACATAACATTCCTCGTTTAGCTGGCTTGTAACAGTTCGTGTATTGTTCACTGTCGCCTTATCACCGACCAACGAAACGAACGCAATTCGGTCTCAAGAGGTAGCAGAAGAGGATGAGGAGGAGGAGAAGGGGGAGGAGGGAGAGGAGGGAGAGGATGGGGAGAGAAGGAAGAGGAAGAGGAAGAGGGGGGAAGGTAATGTGAGAGGATGTCTTTGGCTTGCCCCGATCACGCTCGTTCTCCTCTATATAGTTGTGACCGTTTAGTTTTCACCGTGGTAGTAGCTTACCTCTAAAGAATCGTGAGGGGTTTAGACCGTAAACCACGGGCCATGCGAGGGGGCGTACGTATGTGTGTGGGTTGGTATCTGCATGTTCGTGCGTTACCGTGCGCGTGTGCGTGCGTGTGTTCAATGCGTGTGTGCGTGCGTGCGTGTGCGTGTATGTATATATGCGAAAGTAATCGAGAGAGACGGAGAGAGAGCGCGAGAGTGGCAGAGAGAGAGCGCGCGCGAGAGAAAGACGGAGAAACGGGAAGAGTGAAAAAAAAAGAGCGCTAGAGAGAGAGACAAGGCGAGAGAGAGAGAGCGCTAGAGAGAGAGAGACGGGGCGAGAGAGAGAGAGAGAGAGAGGTAGAGAGAGCGAGAGAGAGACGGGGCGAGAAAGAGAGAGAGAGAGAGAGAGAGGTAGAGAGAGCGAGAGAGACGGAGAAACGGGGAGAGTGAGAGAGAGCGCTAGAGAGAGAGACGGGGCGAGAGAGCGAGAGAGCGAGATACAGAGAGATAGAGAGAGAGATAGAAAGGTAGAGAGAGAGAGAGAGCGCGCGCGTGAGAGAGCTAGAGCTAGCGCATGCATGCATGCAGGCTGGCTGCTGCTATAGGGCGCGTGATGGACATGAGACCCTGGAGCGGGGAGGGAGAGGTGGTTGTAGCCATGCATGTAGCCTCCAGCAGTGCCTGCCCGCGCGCCTCGCGCCCTGCCTTTATAGGAAGCATGCGAATTTCGACTGCGCGCTAGTCTTTAGAAAAGGAAATCCATCTAGCTGAACAATGGGCCGCAATGCCGCAAGTCAGCAAAGTGACATGCGTTGACAGATAGTCCCAGACCCTTATTTCAATACGCCATAAATATGTCGCGGGGCGAGACTGCTCGCGCGGTATTCGTGCGACCGTAACCCGCTGCTGCTGTGCGCGCGTGTACGTGCGCGCGCGTGCGCGGGAGATGCCCAGGCCTGCGTGTGTCCGTCACCAGCCCGTGATATATTCGAATGAGATATGTCGCCGTGTGTTTTCAGGGGTAGACCGCGGCATGTATACGAGGTGGTTGCGAGAGAGGGGAACGACGCGTGCGCAGGCAGAGCCTCTCTCGCAATTAAATCCTACAGTCGTTTATATCCCGGCATGAGAGCCGATATGACGTCCGAATACCGCATCTCCTCGATCATTCTTGACAGCAAGCTAATTTCGAAAAATGGTTTCTCGTCGAACGAGTTTCCCCGAGAAAAAAATATATATCGTGATGCGCGACGGACGTACGCGCGCACGCACACATATTATAATGAACTTTCCCCTCACGCTGGTCTGCGATTATATATATATATATATATAGAGAGAGAGAGAGAGAGATCTACTCGAACGGATCTGCTGTTCAAGAGGGGATCTTTAACGTGTTTGCAAATATTTCTACGACGAAGCGATATCTTACTTTATTTACGAACGCCGCGCGTGGATTATATCGGATTTTTTTTTATTTATACGGAGTTGTACCGCGAATTGATCTCTGCCAAGGATGTCTGAGAATCTCGCGTCACTGCCATTGATTATTGTAAATGAAAAAAAAACACAACGTGACGGACACGTCACTACTTCTTTCTGATGCTATACGGGATTATGTTCTAAACTATCGATCATAGGTGCGTGTAATATTACGTATTGATAGATTTTATGGTTGTTGTACGGAAAATTTATTTAATTATTTCGGCGGTGATTACGCTGTGTGGCGATGAAAGCAAACAAACCGCCCGCAAACAGTTATTTATGTTTACTTTGAGTGAAGCATCTACCTCCTATCTATAGAAGCGTACATACCAGTATGAGACGTAATTATTATTACGCGATGTCGTTGTCAATAATATGTATATAATATAGGTTGAAATATGTTGCATTTACAGTCTCGTTTATATTTCCAAACCTCTCCCAATTGAATGCAGGAAACATTACCGCGTAAGAAAAACATGGCAGGGTAATATGATTAATTTTAAAAATTATTTAATATGATTTCTGAATTGCATGCTTACATTGTTTTTATAATAAACGACCCTACTAGTATATATATATATATGTATATAT